CTGAGTTTCTACAGCGGTCTACGTCTCAACCGACGAAGGGACGGGAAGGTAAACTTCTAGTTCCATAGTCAACTTTGTGTTTTGATTTCTTTAATTCACATGCTTGAGTGAGACTCCATGCTGGCTACGCCACATTGGATGAACCTCAATGCTAGACACCGACTACGTCGTGTCTACATGCACGTGAACAGAACCTTCATTTTTTTGGTAGAGATCGTAGCAAGCCGCCATGTAGATATGAAGTTCTGAACGGACTTTAGCTCTCCATAATTCAATAAATGAACAGCTGCGAGTGTAGTGGATCAATTCAAAGAACACTCCTTTGCGCGTAGCCAACAAAGTTGGCTATGCGTGGGGGGTGCGAATAGAGTGTAGGCTACGGATCAAGTATAATATCACAACTAAACACTCTGTGATCCAGCACCAAAGGGGCAATCCGAACTGGCCTCTTTGGCTCAAGACCCACTGCAGCACTGGAGAAAAGATCAGCAATGCGGAAGCAGCTGCCCGTGTGACGTCGTCGAACTGGAACATTTATCCTCAACATCAACCATTGGAACATAATCGGGTAGGCAATCCCCGATTCGCAATCTATCTATCTATCTATCTATCTATCTATCTATCTATCTCTCTATCTCTCTATCTCTCTATCTCTCTATCTCTCTATCTCTCTATCTCTCTATCTGTCTATCCCTCTATCTCTCTATCTCTCTATCTATCTATCTATCTATCTAGCTATCTATCTATCTATCTATCCATCCATCCATCCATCCATCCATCTATTTATATATCAAACTATCTATCTGTCTAAGTTTTTTTACAGGGAGCTGTGAACGGCGAGACCCCAGCAGGAGTTCTTGAATGTAAGTTATCTATCCATCTATCTATCTATCTATCTATCTATCTATCTATGTATCCATCTACCTGTCTAAATGTAAGTTATCTATCCATCTATCTATCTATCTATCTATCTATCTATCTATCTATCTATCTATCTATCTATCTATCTATCTATCTATCTATCTATCTATCTATCTATCCACCTATCTATCTATCTATCCATCCATCTATTTAAAAATCAGACTATCTATCTGTCTAAGTTTTTTTTACAGGGAGTTGGGAATGGCGAGACCCCAGCAGGAGTTCTTGAATGTAAGTTATCTATCCATCTATCTATCTATCTATCTATCTATCTATCTATGTATCCATCTACCTGTCTAAATGTAAGTTATCTATCCATCTATCTATCTATCTATCTATTTAAAAATCAGACTATCTATCTGTCTATCTATCTATCTATCTATCTATCTATCTATCTATCTATCTATCTATCTATCTATCTATCTATCTATCTATCTATCTATCTATCCACCTATCTATCTATCTATCCATCCATCTATTTAAAAATCAGACTGTCTATCTGTCTAAGTTTTTTTTACAGGGAGTTGGGAATGGCGAGACCCCAGCAGGAGTTCTTGAATGTAAGTTATCTATCTATCTATCTATCTATCTATCCATCTATCTATCTATCTATCCATCTATCTATCTATCCATCCATCTATTGATATATCATGCTATCTATCTGTCTAAGACTCTTTACAGTGAGCTGGGGGCGGAAAGTTTAGATAAAGAAGTAGAATGGAGACAATGGTTTGGTGGAGCACAGGGGGGGAGGGGAAGTTTAGATAAAGAAGTAGAATGGAGACAATGGTTTAGTGGAACGCAGGGGGGGGGAAGTTTAAATATGTTTAAATAAAGAAGTAGAATGGAGACAATGGTTTAGTGGAACGCAGGGGGGGGAAGTTTAAATAAAGAAGTAAAATGGAGACAATAGTTTAGTGGAACGCAAGGGGGAGTAAGTTTAAATAAAGAAGTAAAGTGAAGACAATGGTTTAGTGGAACGCAGGGGGCGGAAGTTTAAATAAAGAAGTAAAGTGGAGACAATAGTTTAGTGGAACGCAGGGGGGGGTCAGTTTAAATAAAGAAGTAGAATGGAGACAATGGTTAAGTGGAACGCAGGGTAGTAAGTTTAAATAAAGAAGTAAAGTGGAGACAATGGTTTAGTGGAACGCAGGGGGGGAAGTTTAAATAAAGAAGTAAAGTGGAGACAATAGTTTAGTGGAACGCAGGGGGGGCTAAGTTTTAATAAAGAAGTAGAATGGAGACAATGGTTTAGTGGAACGCAGGGGGGGGGGAAGTTTAAATAAAGAAGTAAAATGGAGACAATAGTTTAGTGGCACACAGGGGGGGGAAGTTTAAATGAAGAAGTAAGTGAAGACAATGGTTTAGTGGAACGCAAGGGGCGGAAGTTTAAATAAAGAAGTAAAGTGGAGACAATAGTTTAGTGGAACGCAGGGGGGGGAAGTTTAAATAAAGAAGTAAAGTGGAGACAATAGTTTAGTGGAACGCAGGGGGGGTAAGTTTAAATAAAGAAGTAAAATGGAGACAATAGTTTAGTGGAACGGAGGGAAAGTTTAAATAAAGAAGTAGAATGGAGACAATAGTTCAGTGGAACGCAGGGGGGAAGTTTCAATAAATAAGTAGAATGGAGACAATAGTTTAGTGGCACGCAGGGGGGAGTAAGTTTAAATAAAGAAGTAGAATGGAGACAATAGTTCAGTGGAACGCAGGGGGGGGAAGTTTAAATAAAGAAGTAGAATGGAGACAATAGTTTAGTGGAACGCAGGGGGGGGGAAGTTTAAATAAAGAAGTAGAATGGAGACAATGGTTTAGTGGAACGCAGGAGGGGGGAAGTTTTAATAAAAAAGTAAAATGGAGACAGTAGTTTAGTGGCACACAGGGGGGGGAAGTTTAAATAAAGAAGTAGAATGGAGACAATAGTTCAGTGGAACGCAGGGATGAGTAGTGCCCGTGTCTGCTGAGCAGCCAGAAAGATGATAAGGTTGCCGTGCCTGTGCGTGCACAGAAACATGAACGTTATCACTCCACCCTACCCCATATCCAGAGTAGTGGTGTGTACATGTGACCGTGGCATCGCTGGTGTGTACATGTGACCGTCGTTTTGCGTGCGCAGATGACCGCACCTGTGTGTACATGTGACCGTGGGATCGCTGGTGTGTACATGTGACCGTCGTTTTGCGTGCGCAGGTGACCGTAAGGCTCGAAAAAGGTCTCTGTGTGTACATGTGACCTGGATTTGCGTGCGCGGATGACCCCTTGACCTCCCTAGGGCAACAAAAACACAAGGCATTACGTGTTCCATGCATTTCCATGCACAAAAATGCACAAAATGTCTTCAACCGTTTGGATCTCAGCAGTTATTTACCATGTGACTCATGTGTGCATGAGTTCCTGTGATTTTGGTGTTTGAGCATCGATGGACAACGGACATATTGTGTTTCAAACATGTGAGAATATTGCAAGGCTCACTTATGCAAACAGCCAACTACCACTTCTCTGTGAGTTTTTTCTCATCCCTGCAACTTTGTTAGTTTTTCGTTTCAACCATCTTTTGTCGTGAGTTGGACCATACAACTGGAATGTTGTATATCGAGAGCAAGATATGTTCTTATTGCATCTTATTGCATCTTATCGCCAGTTGTTTAGATGACCAAATTCTGGGGCTTCCAAGGCCCCTGAAGGGCCCAATGGGTTTGTTTTCGCCAGGCATTGCCATGGAACATCTTGGAAGCACCATCCGGAGGCCAAACCCCTTAGGGAAAAAATATGCCCTCAAGAATTTGGGACAGCAGCCTGCGAACGAGAGATGGATGGGTCATTTTTGGCACCGTAAACCATTGGAGTTGACGATGGCATATCAACATGGCCAACGAAAGTGAACAACAACGACATTTTTTAGCTTTGTTGGACCTTCTCGGTCGAAAATCCTCCTGGTTTAGGCATACGAGTCTTCACTAGATGCAACTTCCATGGCATTGCCTTGAAACATATCATTAAATTGCACATAATTCTATCCAGAAACTTGCGCAGCATGTTGACCTTTTTGGAACATAGTCCAAACATGGAAACTCTTTTTTCGGAAACAAACACGTGCTGCCAGGAAAGGTTTGTGCCACCAGTTGGTCTGGTGGGAGGTTGCATTGCTCTCAGACTTCTGCCAGGCAAAATGTCGTTCTTGGCTCTGACGGGCTGCCCGCAGTAGCTCTGAATTCTGGGCAGAAGCACTTGAGGGACCAGAACTTCCTGTGAATATGAATGGATATGAATGGATCATCCTTCAGCTTCGAGATTGGCAAATGAATGCCAATGATTTGTGAAAGATGGCAATTTGGCCGTATTTCCTCGGTGACCGCTGCTCGGTCGTGGCAAAATCGATTCTGGCGAAATGCGACAAAAATGGTCGAAACCTGCCAGTTGTGGCGGATGACATTGCCACACTTGATATCATGCGATAAAGACCTGGGTATTCGGAAGTTTGAGTGCATGCAGAATAGAAATCTGTGTGAACATTGGCATTTTCAATGTGGCCTCAAAGTGTTGCGCGCAGCCAAAGATTGGCTCAAAATGTTGGTGTTTTGAAAAAATATAATGGGCGTGAGCCCAATACCTTTCATATTTGCACAGCTATGGTTTCTGTGCGCTGCTGTCCGGCCATCCATCGATAAGGAGGCCCGGGCAGCAATTGAGTCGGGTAAAATGCGTGGGAAAGTTCAGAGTTGCCACAAGACTATGAACACGGTAGAGAAAGATGAAACCCACCTGCAGATCCTCAGTCCAGAAAATCTCTTCTGCAGTGCAACAAAAAGGAATCTTATGCTCTTCGCGGCTTCGAATTTTGACACATGCTCGCATGGTTGATCAGCCATCCACGCGAGCTCGAGCAAGGACTTGGGGCATAGAGCTTCGCTTCTATTGGAGAGCAACGAGGCGAGGTTGTCAGAGTGTGTTTCAGATAGCATGGAAAGTTGATGGATTTTGAAGCTCCAAATCTTGATAAATCTTGATAACTTGATAAATCTTGTAGATCCGCCAGAATGTCACGGGAAGGTTTTCGTCCAGTTCACGGGGTGGCTGCTGAGGTGTCGGAGTGCCCTGAAGAAGTGCAGGAGAAGCTGCGAGGGCAGCTGCAGGGCCTGGGTCTCTCGGGAGAAGGCGATCCATGTCTTTGGAAGGGCATTCGGTGCTGGGAATGCGAGGTGACGCAAATTCGGAGCGAGGAGGCCACAGGAGATTTGAGTTCCGTCAAGGAGATGACGCATCTGCGAGTTCTGCGGCTTAGGGGCCGAGTCACGGGCAACGTCTCTGAGCTGGCGAAGCTGAATCTCGTTCGCCTTGACCTTTCACAGACAGAGGTCATGGGCGATCTCGCAGAGCTGTCGAAGCTCACGGCTCTCCGAGGGCTTCTACTTCCCCACACCCAGGTGTCGGGCAACGTCGCGGAGCTATCGAAGCTGAATCTCGTTCGCCTTGACCTTTCACAGACAGAGGTCATGGGCGATCTCGCAGAGCTGTCGAAGCTCACGGCTCTCCGACAGCTTCTACTTCCCCACACCCAGGTGTCAGGCAACGTCGCGGAGGTCTCAAAGCTGAAAAAACTCGTGCACCTTGACCTTGCACGGACTCAGGTGGCGGGTGATGTATCGATGCTATCGAACATGACTAAGCTCTTTGACCTTTCCCTTGCACAGTCTCGAGTCCATGGGGATTTCGGCGTCATCAGCAGCATGCCCAACCTGGAGAAGGCCGACTTGTCCAGCACCGCGGTGTCTGGGAACCTGAATTACTTGCGGTCGGGTTGCTGCGAAGAGCTCCGGGAACTGCACCTTGGAGTGCCAGCCTCGGAACTGCAGCAGTGTTTCTTCTACGTGGTTGTGGAAAAGTGTGGCTGCACAGTTTGAAACCTGTCCTTTTTGCTTGTGAGGATACACAGGTGCGGATTTCTGGTCGTAGTCCAGTGTCGCTCCCAGCTTTGCAATCCCTCAATGCCAGCACCTTAGATTATTCAGAGTTTTGCATGAGTGCCTGAGTCCGCAGAAGTTGCTGTGCACTTTTTGGCTGTGACTCAATGATTGCTAATCTGCTTTTATACTGTCCCCACCCACTCAAGGCCCCCATTTGGCGGGAGCTTCAAACAATTGCATACACTGCAATTTGGCAAGCTCGCACTTTGCGCAAGGCTACCCTTTCCACAAATGTAGCAAAACCATACAAAACCACTGTGGGATCGGCTTACGTAAACTTCTGCATCATTCCCCAAACAGTTAACTTTTGCTGTGCGGGTTCTCAATGCTTTCTCAAGTGTGTCCGAATTGCTGTTAGATGCTGTCTCCGCCTTTGGCAACTTTGTCTTCCTTCTTGTCTCCCTTCTTGATCCTGTGTTCGTGCGATGATGCACCGGCGTATAGCAAAACCCTTTGTTTTGCAAAATCAACGCACATATCAACAGATTGAGTTTCTCCTGAACAGTTTATTGGTGGGCTTCGCGGTCGGATGCTGTGTCTCTCTTCTGGCAAGGTTACCCCCAGTGCCTCGCTTCTTGTCTCCTGTCATCCGCTTTACTGGCAAACGTATCTCCAAGTTCCTCCCTTCTTGTGTTCCATGGTTTTTATTTTGTTTGATTTAAATCACGACCTGTCTTCGCATTCGGCCTTTCAACGGTCTGATCAGAAACAGAGTGAATTTCATGGCAAGGTGAGTGGTTGCAACCTGAACGTCAGCTTCATCGACCTGGTCGTTCCTCTGCTTTCGAATCCAATCACAATCCTCCTTGCCAGGGGATGTGGAATCACGGGCGAGGTGAAATCCCCCTGGCTCGCGTCTGCTTCTTTGTGGTACTCTCTGCAGCTCTTCGATCTCTCGGGGAATCGCTTGGATGCGGTGCATGCCTGGCCGGCGAAGTTGAGGCTGGATGTCTCTCACAATGAGATCCCGTTGCGCGTGAGCCGGGACGTCATCAAATCTGCGGCCAAGTCTGGGACGGACCTCTGGATGATGAACACAGAACTGGCAAATAAGGAGGACATCATGTCGAATTGCTCCAACGAGCTGCAAATGGAGGAGATGTGGATCTCAAGGGAGACCGGTGGATACTGGTGCCATGACCTCATACAACCCAACTTTCGTGTCACGCCAGAGCGCTTCTTGCCTCAGCTCATGTGTGCGTGTGGCCCAGGCCACTTTGGTGCCGGCACCAACTGCTCAGCATGTCCGGAAGACACTTTCAACGACCAGATGGATCAAAGGAAGTGTCAAGCCTGCCCTGAGGGCGGCAAGGCTCCAGCTGGATCTCAGGCCCTTTCGGCCTGCGAGTGCCCCTTTGGCGCCCCTCGTATTTTCGAGAACCAGACCATGTGCCTATGCGACCGCAGTGAAGCGCTCACTGACGCGCAAAAATGCGTCTCTTGCAGCGAGAATCATGTGGTTTGCAGTCCTGGTGCAGATCGTCTGGCTACAGCGCCTTTGAAAGACGGGTACATTCGCTTGAAGGAGCCATCGGAAGAGATTTTCAAATGCCTTGATCCTAAACATTGCAGAAACTCCAGGTGTGTGCCAGGACTGGGAAGGGTTTGGATGGAAATGTGGATGTCTCCAGAGTGACTTCTGCCCGAACCGGTGTAGCTTTGCATGATATTGTACAATCCTTTCGCATCCTGTTGCCAAGTTGGGTCGAACACATGGTTTGATTGAACCATGTTTGATTGTTTGTGCTCTCATCCACGGAAGTTGCCAGGGCGCACTGGCCCGCCTTCGCTTTGCACAGCTTGCTCCCCACAGTACCGAGAAAGCAACAAGATCTGCGTTGAATGCAAGAGCGTTTCATCGCAGCAGAGGCTTTTCTGCACATCCAAGATAGCATGAGTATCAAGTTACGGTGGTTCTTTGGACGTAAAGACCATCCAAAGTATTCGATGCTCAATGGCATCAGATATTGGGAACCTGACAACTTGCCACACTTTTCTGTAGCGTGCCAACTTGTATTTTGTACTAAGGAAATTTTCAGTCGGTTTGGGCTGCACTGCGACCCTGGTGATAATGGCTGCCATAGCATGGACCCTGAGGCATGACCGAATAATATGAGGGCAGCAGCTCTTCAAGTGATGAAAGGAAACGGTGGTTGCCATGAGCATGAAATTGCACAGCAGGTTCGCTACTACTGCAAATGGAATTCTGTTCGATGCCCATCAGGGTGTTGCACTTTCTAGCTACATCATGCTACATCTATACAGCGCTTCTTGTTCTGTTTTCTCGGGGTCCATGTTGTTTGCAGGCGCCACGCGCCACAGCGGAGCCCTCGCAGCGAGTGCCTGCTGCAGCTGATCACGGCGCAGCTGATGGCTTTGCTGCAGCTGGCGCAGCTCTGGACGGTGCTCGGCGGCTTGACGCCTGTGGACCCAGCGGCAACGGTCGCAGACGCGGCAAACGTCACAGACGCGGATGACGGCGCCCAAGGAAACTTGGCCGCCCATGGCTGTGGCATGGTGGCCACCCATGTTTTTAGATTCATTCTGAGGGAAAGCAGAACTATGCCAGTCTTTGAACGTAGTACACATAGAAATAATTAGAAATATGGGCATGGGTCAAAACAAAAACACCGTCACTCCAATATTGCCATGGATTAAAATTTCAATTATTGGCAATTGGCACCAAAACTGGAGGGTTCAGAGCACTTTAACATCAAAATGATGAAATTTGTGGCTCTATTGACAATCATATGGTGCGAATGGTCCTAGATCATGTTTTGGGTACTGAAAGTTCACCCATTCGAAACTCGGTCCATGGGGGAACTGAGCTGGGACATTTATAATCGGTCCAGCAGCCAGCAAGCGATCGAAAGCAAAATCCCAGAGGTTCAGGGGTTCAGGAAATTTCATGTTTGACAGCTCCCAAAATCGAATTCCCTGGTTCTATCACCTTGCTGCATGCCAGATCTGTTCATCTCAGCGCAGAGTGCGCACAGCAGAGGTGATGCACTGCTTGGATACTTGGAAGCCTTACAATTCACCACCTCCGAAGTGCAAAACTTCCTGGCTCTGCAGTGTCTTTATGATGCTTGGCTCAGTTGAGGATCCTTACAGGTCCTTACCTTTCAAACTCCATAGGCATTGGGCCTTCAAGGGGATGACAGCACAGATCTAAATCTGAAGAGAACATTTTTGCTTTCTGCGAGTGTAGCAACTTGTCCACTTCGAGGACGGCGCCACCGTTCGTTCGATGTTTGCCATTGCTACGCCCCTGGTTCCTTTGCTGCTGCTGATTGCTTGTGGCTGCTTGGAGGTTTTCTCGCGCGGATTGGGTGACTTCGTTGCAGTTGACTGATGGTGTGCCTTGCGATGAGGCAAAGGTAGATTGGCCCTCTATCGACTCTATCGATCCAATGTAACTGGCTTTCCTTGAGCACAAATCATGTCCTTCTCACACTGTGACATTAGAGGAGTTCAAACAGTGACGCCTTTGCAACTTCCCAATTTCCGGATTAAGATATAATGAGCGAAATTTTGGCATATACAATTGAGTGAATTTCAGATTTCCAAAAGATGGATTTGTCATGATAATCAAGGTGCTTGTGCTCCGGAGTTTTTCTGCTTCAGGCATCCGCGTTGGGCTGAAGATGCTCACGGTGCTTTTCATTGGTGGTGCCTCTGGCAGCGCGCAGCTTTTGGGCTGCCAGCGAACAGATGGTGCAGGCGGCCGTTTCGTTGCGCCCAACAATCGATTTTGAGGTTCAAATGTGCGAGCCTTGCAGGGTTTCATGCAACATCATGCGGTTAACTTCGGCTTGCATTTTCTCAGGCACACCATTGAAAGAGTTTGCCTTCCGCCCACTTTTTCCACACGAACGGTGCGACGAAGCTCTGTGGGTTTGGAGCCCAGCTTTTTGAACCAATCATCCAAACAAGCAGCGCGATTCTTGCGAAAGAGATCAGTAGAGATCATTGAGGCGCCAGTGGGGCCCCCAAAATCTGAGACACCGTGGGCCCTCATGCTCAATCTGAGGTGGATAGGATCGGCTGGGCCACCGCTATTTGCTACGGCCTCGTCATCCCCTGCTTCCTGGGATTTCTGTTTGCCAAGCAAAATGTCGTCATGCGAAAGGTGAAGACAGCGGTTATGCACACTACATGCGACGATGGAAAGGTTAGGGTGTGGCTGCAAGGCCTTGAAAGCAAGCAATCCTTCAAGGACCGGGTTTGTGCAAAAGTTGCAGATGTTTGTTCTTTTCCTCCACAGAAAGGATTGCTAGGCAAGCCACAGGCAACAAGATGCCACGAGTACATCAGTATGACATACAACACAGCAAGAAAACATGGCAACCCCATCGTGAAACAAGTGCCAGTCAAACGCAATTTGTCCAGGAATGATGTAATGCATCCACTTCTCATGCGACCAACTGTGCAGTCCAGGATGCCATGCTATCCAAGCGCTTAGCGGCTTCTGCTGCTGCCTGCCTTGCCATAGATGTGAAAGGCAGCGCGGTGGTCGAATTGCAGAAAGATGCTGTGATGCTTAGCCAAAACGGCAAGTTTGGTTTACGTTTGAAACAGGTTTGTTGATGCCAATGCTTGAAAAACTTTGTCACCACATGTCACCACAATGTGGTGGAAAATCTACGTTGATGCGATTTCTCCCACTTTCGAGCTACCAACACCCTTGCCTTTAAGACTTCAAGACTTTGAGCAGAATGTGTCTTCTTCACTCGTCGTTCCACGGGGGAACAACCATGGCATGCCATGCAAATTTCCACGCAGCCTATGCACCACCTGATACAAGGATTGTAACTCCAACAAACATTTCCAGAGCTTCGGAAGACTTGGGCGAAGCTCGGGCTGACAGAGAAGAGGCATGTGCCAAGAAGCCATGGAAAGGACATGAATTAACATGAATTGACAAACTTTGACAATTTTTCCTTGCTTGATATGGCACTGGCTACTTGTAGGAACGTGGTGTGTCCAGTCTCCATGAGCATGAGTCTTCATTACCCGGAATATCCTTTCAGAAGGTTGCGCATTTTCTTTTCTTTGCGCCTTACTACAGTTTGTTGCCAGTGGGCTTGGTTTTGCCCTTCTCTTCGTGGGTTGAAAGTTGATATAGGAACCCCATGGAACCCCTATCTTGGAGGGCTGGGTTTCCACGTGAAGTCATCAGATTGATGATGGTCAAGGGGCCTTTAAGATAACTGGGAGATATCAAGGGATGGATTAGGAAATTCCTCATCAAGAAGCAGTAGTTTCAGTAGTTCTGCTTTGGTCTTATCAATTCCGTCACGTTGTATCTTGTGTATCAGTGTGTCCTATTTTCTTGTTATGGATACAGTTGAGCCAGACCGGGTTCCCATCAATTTTTGCCAGCCTCAAGTGAGGTTGAGACGGTTGAGAGCTTTGTCTTCGGCTCAGACGTGAAGGAGGCGGAGGTGTTGCAACGCCACATGATGGCGCAGATGCTCATAGAGCGTAGCATTTTGGAGGAGGAAACTGATCGTGGCTCGGAGGCCAAAAGCCATGTGTATTTAAGTGCTTTCGGCAAGCCCGCAGGCCATAGAGAGGTGGCCCCAAGGGAGTTTGATGTGCACTCTAGGTGGAAGCCCGCGAGAGAAGCAGAAGAGAACCGTAGAAGAAGAAGAATAAGAAGAATAAGAAAGGAAGACGAAGACAAAGCCGTAAAACGGAAGCAGCTTGTGTAGCAAGAGCTGGCTGTAACAACCGATTTATCGTATACCAAATTAGTACCGCCCCCAGCAAAGTAGCGCCAGGTACTATGTATGAGCCTCTGGCTTGACAGCAGACTGCTGCATGGAAGGAGACAGGGTGGAAGCGGAGAGAGATTGCCCCAAGGGAAGTTGATGTGCATGCTAGGTGGAAGCCTGAGGAAGAAGAGGAAGAAGAGGAAGAAGAGGAAGAAGAGGAAGAAGAGGAAGAAGAGGAAGAAGAGGAAGAAGAGGAAGAAGAGGAAGAAGAGGAAGAAGAGGAAGAGGAGGAAGAAGAGGAAGAAGAGGAAGAAGAGGAAGAGGAGGAAGAAGAGGAAGAAGAGGAAGAAGAGGAAGAAGAGGAAGAAGAGGAAGAAGAGGAAGAAGAGGAAGAAGAGGAAGAAGAGGAAGAAGAGGAAGAAGAGGAAGAAGATGAAGAAGAGGAAGAAGAGGAAGAAGAGGAAGAAGAGGAAGAAGAGGAAGAAGAGGACGAAGAGGAAGAAGAGGAAGAAGAGGAAGAAGAGGACGAAGAGGACGAAGAGGAAGAAGAGGAAGAAGAGGAAGAAGAGGCAGAAGAGGAAGAAGAGGAAGAAGAGGAAGAAGAGGAAGAAGAGGAAGAAGAGGAAGAAGAGGAAGAAGAGGAAGAAGAGGAAGAAGAGGAAGAAGAGGAAGAAGAGGAAGAAGAGGAAGAAGAGGAAGAAGAGGAAGAAGAGGACGAAGAGGACGAAGAGGAACAAGAGGACGAAGAGGACGAAGAGGAAGAAGAGGAAGAAGAGGAAGAAGAGGAAGAAGAGGAAGAAGAGGAAGAAGAGGAAGAAGAGGAAGAAGAGGAAGAAGAGGAAGAAGAGGAAGAAGAGGAAGAAGAGGAAGAAGAGGAAGAAGGGGAAGAAGGGGAAGAGGAGGAAGAGGAGGAAGAGGAGGAAGAGGAGGAAGAGGAGGAAGAGGAGGAAGAGGAGGAAGAGGAGGAAAAGAAAGAAGAGGAAGAAGAGGAAGAAGAGGAAGGAGAGGAAGAAGAGGGAAGAAGGGGAAGAAGAGGAAGAAGAGGAAGAAGAGGAAGAAGAGGAAGAAGAGGAAGAAGAGGAAGAAGAGGAAGAAGAGGAAGAAGAGGAAGAAGAGGAAGAAGAGGAAGAAGAGGAAGAAGAGGAAGAAGAGGAAGAAGAGGAAGAAGAGGGAAGAAGAGGAAGAAGAGGAAGAAGAGGAAGAAGAGGAAGAAGAGGAAGAAGAGGAAGAAGAGGAAGAAGAGGAAGAAGAGGAAGAAGAGGAAGAAGAGGAAGAAGAGGAAGAGGAAGAAGAGGAAGAAGAGGAAGAAGAGGAAGAAGAGGAAGAAGAGGAAGAAGAGGAAGAAGAGGAAGAAGAGGAAGAAGAGGAAGAGGAGGAAGAAGAGGAAGAAGAGCAAGAAGAGGAAGAAGAGGAAGAAGAGGAGGAAGAGGAGGAAGAAGAGGGAGAAGAGGAAGAAGAGGGAGAAGA